CTGGAGGACCTGGCCTCCCTGATTCTCCAGGGGAGCCCGGGGGGCCAGGTGGCCCCGGAGGTCCTGGAGGCCCACGGATTCCAGACTTGCCCTTCCTTCCTTGGTCTCCTCTTCCTCCAGATGCATAAGGAGGTGGTGAGATGACGGCCAACTCCTGGCTTGCCTCCGCTGAAGCTGCCCCGTGGGTTTGCGGTGTGTAGGGGTCACAGACCATACGACAGCTACCCAGCATCTCATAGTGGGAGGTGGTTTTGGAGCTGTGCACCAGCAAGGGAATGGCCACCAGGAGAACCAACACCATTGCCACCCCAATGGCGGCCCCAATGACCCTTTTTTTGTGGCTTAGCCTGGAGGCGGCCAGGGTTAAGAAATCGTCTTCACTTTTGGAGGTAATGGTGGAAGACTTTGGGGAGTCAACAACCACCCGGACGGAGGTCCCAACTCTGATGCCCTTTGAGTGATGCTCCACTGCGACGCCCTGTCCTTTCAAAGCACTTGTTGACTTGGATGGCAAACTCCGTCCAAAGTTGCTCAGCTCTGCGGCTTCTTCTGTCTTTCCTCCACAAGATACTTGCTGCCTTTACAGTAGATACTTTGGGCTTGTTCACACTTCAGAGAGAACAGCAGTAGCAGCGGTGGCGGCGGCAGCAGCAGCAGCAGATGTGTTAGGGGTGGAGATGATCAGGAAGAAAGTGTGTGTGCATGCATGTGTGTGTGTGTATATATATCTGCCTTCCTTTCTCTTCTCCACTTGAGAACTCAGCTGGTGACGGCGTAGCAGCTCCAGGCTCCTTGTGCCAGATCATATGGCCATCAACGGGAAACCGGAGGGGGAGAGAGAGATTTCCCAACAACCAGTTCATCCACCACCCCTCCCTAGTACATGCAAAACCCTTTCCACAAACTCAAGAAGAGAAGATCAGACTGAGCTGCCCAAGATGCAAAAAGTAGCTTTAAGCCAACCAGAGCGACCTCTGGTGCTTCGCAAAGGAGGCGAGGCTCAGCCACTGAGATGCATCTGCCTGGAGCCTGGAAGTGTCTCATCCCATCCATAGCAGCAGCTTGAATTTCTGCGTGCATTTGCATGAGCCAGGGATGGATTGTCAGGAATGTGGGGGGCCGGAGGCCTCCGTCCTCAGGTGCTGCTGGCGGGGATCCATGTGGACAAACATCACGGCCATATTTCTGTAAGGGGGAGAAGAAAAAGGAGACTCGGAGAGGTGCACCCCTTCCTTTTGCCGTATGTGTGTGTGTGTGTGGGCACTTGCATCGCCTTGGAATAACAGATGTATTCTGGGCACCCCACCCCACCCCCTTCTCACACACCTTCCATCTCTTAGGCTGTGCTCACTCTGCCTGCATCCCAGCTGTCCCCCAGCCTCGCTGGTATCTACAGTCATGTTTAAGGATGTGTTTTATATGCTGGGGTTGTATCGTTTCCCCCACGCAATTAAGTGCTTTACCTTTGTGCCTCCTTTGCCTCTCTCGGCGGAGATTGATTAACAGCTGTCAGATCCAAGGAATCTCCTAGAGGGGCTGCAAGCCATCACATTCATTAATTAATCAATTATTCCCCCTCTCCCCGAACTCCCATCTCTCTCTCTCTCTCTCTCACGCACACACACATACACACTTACATGCTGTACAGAGGGAGGTGTATGCTCTAATGACTCAGTCTTTTGAGAGCAGGATTGGGGGGGGCAGTATCTGGGACTTAGAAGTTGGATAACACAGGAAAGGGTGAAGGCAGCCGGCAATACCTATGGAAGAGAAAGAGAGCATTTGTGTATTTATGTGTAAAGTGTGTGTGGGTAGGATTAAGGCAAGTGTGGGAAAGAAAAAGGTGTGAGTTATTCAGGCATGCACATGTAAAAGGGGAGAAGATGGCTTTTTGTAAGGCACGTGTGTGAAGGCGTGATGATGGGTTTGCATATATGTATACGATGTCTGTCTAAATGGAAGGAAGGTGGCATGGTATAACCTGGCTTCATCAGATCTCAAGCTAAGCAGGATAGGGGGAGACCACCAAGGAAGACTCTACAGAGGAAGGCAATGGCAAACTACTTCTGCTTTTCACTTGCCTCAAGAGCCTCTTGCTGGGGTCTCCATAAGTCAGCTGAAACTGGATAACACTTTATACACACATATTTCTCTAAAGCATGTGTGATATGTGAATGGGATGGGACTGCACAGGTTTACACAAGAAGTGAACACAAAACATTTAGATGCTCGAGAGAGCTGTAACTACTTTACAGGTGTGCACAAACCTGTGTATAAGAAACAAAATTGGTTTCTGTTCAAGCCAGGGAATCGCTCAGTTTACTGGAAGAGATTTGGGATCTGGCTTCTTCAGCAAGAGGATATGTTATTAAGGAGCTGTATTGCTGAAAGAGCCAAATTCATTTCACCTTTCAGCACGGAGCTGCAATGAGCACTTATTATCATTATACTGTTATGTAGATATTATTCAGAGTTTCTCTCTTTTTAGGTGTTAATGTTGCATGCACTTCACCTTGTCCGTCCATCTGTTCATATTTGTAACCATACACTCTGCAATAAATTGCATTACCTTTTTTAGACATTTATGCAGGTAGCAATACACTAATTGAATAGGAAAATAGGCAGTTTTATGTGCCTGATCTGTGCATGGCCGTCATAAACCTATAGATATATGTGACTGACATTTCCTGTGTCTGTCTTAGAAAGAGCCATATTTGCATATATTTCTGATCAGACTAGTAAATATGTAGTTAATTTTGCATGGATATAATCAAGGATATATTTGAATCTCTGTAGAAAAAATTGGGTGTGTCTGACCTATACATGTGCTGATTTCTTAAATAAATAAATACACTTGTACTGAGAGGCTGTGTACAAATATCTCTCTGAATAAGGTGGTAAGGGTGGGGAGTGAGGCTGCAATCATAAGAACACTTACCTGGAAGTAAACCCAATTGAATACAGTGGATCTGACATTTGAGTAAACAGGCAAAGGATTGTGCTGTAAATACTGAAGATTATATTCCATTCTATTCTGATTTTGCCAGTTGCTATAGGCTGCTGCTACATCCTTTATAGTTGCATCAGTGTGTCTTTTATCAGTGAGAATTTCATAGCATGCTTTTCTAGAACATAAGTCATTTTGCTGTCCAGCCTACAATAAATTTTCAGAGCAAAAAAAAATTCCTTGCCTCTTACTTAAAATGGATCTAGAGGTGTATTAAGTCGTTTAGAGAGAATAAGAGACTGGGAATGCTAGGTTGAGGCACCTGTGGAATTTTAAAAGCAATAATAACTGTTTGAATGGGATGCAAAGATCTCTCTTGGCTTTGTGTGTTAGTCTGTCTGCACGAGAACACTGCTGCTCAGCTAGTGCAGACTGGCAATGCAATCCTCAGCAGAGTCACATTCTTCTAAGTCCATTGTATTAAGTGAGTTTAGAAGGGTGTAACTTGGTTTAGGGTTGCATTGTGAGCTACCCATACTACTTGTGTCAGAGCCCTTCATTTTCCAGGCAGGTTGATGGGGAGCCAGTGCTGAAATGCACACTGGGTGTCTAGAAGGCCTTGGATGTATGTGCCAATTCTCCCAAAGATTCCCTGCGCAAATGCACTGCATATTGAGGTTGTGACATACTGTATGTGTATTAACATGTGTAGCGACAGGTTTCCTTGTGTCTATTGATTTCTGGTTCATGGCTTGAAGGTAGGATTGATACTATCTCTGTGCAAAAAAAAAGAGAAAGTCATCAGATCCATAGGAGTCAGCAACAAACATAAAAAGTATTAAAACTTACACAACTTGAATTGGGACTTGCACTTAAGCAAGTTTCAATGCTGAGATGTTCATTAGCTTTTACCTATGCATGCTTTTATGAGCAATGTGGACTTGGATCCCATGAACTTGTTCCATGCACACAAGGTAGCCTTGGCCACGGAGCACACTTCCTCTTTGCTAGCACTTCTGTTTGCACAAGATCTGTGTCTTTCCATGAGCCCTTGTGCAATGACATGTTCTTGCACAAGAAGAAGCATGCTCTGTGGCTGAGGCTATCTAGTGCACACAGATCTTGTTGATAAGGTCCAAGCCATGGGGTCTCTGTTCTCTGTGTCTCTGTAACATATGTTCACTGCTCTGTCTGTTTTTTTGGCGTTTATAGTCTTGTAGGGTGTGAATACTGGGATTATCTTATCTCACAGCACAACTTTTTAAACACTGAGTTGGTCTCATGTCCTTGTCAAAACTGAATCTAGAAGTCTCCTTTCCCCTGTTTTCACAGAAGGCAACAACCCAGAGAGCCCAATACATCTCAATAGCAACATGTCTCTGCCCCCTGGCATCGGTCATTTACACTCCTGCATTCTTCTTAACCGAAAAGCTGGGTTTGCCTGATTTATGGCTCCTCTTTTAGAATCATTACTGAATTTTAGAATCTTTGCTGAATACTGTTCCTTTATGCAAAATTTAGCTTTTGCCCTCAGAGTTCCCAGGAGCCCAAATATCCTTCGGAAGGAATTAAAATCTGCATTTTCTGGGCAATTAAAAAAACCAGACAACTGAAAAATACAAGACTCTGCTCTGCTTCGCTAACCTTCCCCTCAAAACTATTGTTCGGACCTGGATTTTGGGGAGTGTGGGAGAAAGGGAGATTTTTCGTTTTATTTGCATGGGCAATTCCAGTTGCTTTGAATGTTTTCTGAAAAGCTCCTCTCACATTTATTTCTTAATTTACGCATGTGTTTGCTAGGGCCCCTCTCTATAGATGCTCTTATTTCTGTCAGTACACAGTTGTACCTGGCTGAACCTTTGCATGTGCCAGTGTGTGTGAATGGTATTTTTAGCCAATGCATATTGTTTATTTAATGTGATCATTTCACTTATCAGCTACCTGGTTGTGTTTGTGTAAAGCTGTGTACTATATTTTGGTGGACATTTTATTTTATTTTGTCTTTGTGTTTAATGTGTGTATCCAAGTGCAAAAATTTTCCTAAGAGTTACACTTTGGCTACATGCATAGATAATTTTTTCTTTTCCGTATGTGTTTTGTGCATACCCTTGCATGTATATGTTTCACACCTTTTAGGGAAAGGGATATAGGTTTTGCTGGTATGCTGCAAAAAACTGATTCTGTGTGAATTGCTGTTTTGCCTATCTGTTTGCTATGAATGCATGTTACAGACGTGTCTCTGTGCTGTTGCTTGTCTCTGCTTATGTGTGTGACTTTTCTTTGCATTAAGTGGCACATAGCTTTTGTACGCCATCTTCTGGATGTATTGGTCTTGCATGGATGGGTGTCAGTGT